GGTAGAGACTTGTGCCTGGGAACTGCTGGTCAGTCTGAGAAGATTCTGTAAACAAGCGCTAGCTAATAAATCTTGCTGATTGAACCTGCACGGTCTCCAGGAGTTCCTTGGGCTAGGCCTGACAGCGGAGTCCCAATCCGCGTGGAAGACGGCCAGAGACGGACGTGATTGATGATTGCAGTGGCTGGGAGTAACAGGAGCTGTTAAAGTAACCACAAGCATTTGAGCTGTTAGAATAACCACAGGCATCCGTACCTGGCTATGACTGTTTTATAGCCTGAATATTTGTGCTGCAACACTGATGCTTGGCTATGCTGTCCTTTTGGGTTAGGCTGATTTATTTTAATGCCCTGTGATTGTTGTTGTGGGTCATGGGAAATACAAAGTCTAAGATGGATGATGCTCCTGATAAGGGTACCCCTGCTTCATTCATTCATACTCATAAGGGGCCCAGGTTTTGTCAATTTTTGAGGCAATGGAATGCACTTACTGCTAAGGATCCAAAGCAATGGTTCCCTGAGGATGGTTCTTTTGACAGAGATAAACTAAATTTTCTGAGAGCGTGTCTTAATGAAGCAGATAATTCCCTTAAGGCAGGGAATTGGTCTGCCTCTATGGTCTGGTATGCTGAAATGGAGAAAAGGCGCAGGGATCATCATTTGCAATCTTTTCGACGTTCTAAGGAAAAGATGGTTAAGAAAACTTGGCTCCTACTGTGATAATAATTCTCTAATGATTAATAAATCAGAGTCAACAATTATGTTCTTTGGAAAACAACATCATAACCATAGATGGCTATTAGATGGTGAGACAATAGAGCAAGTTAATACCTTCCCTTATCTAAGGGAAGTCTTCTCTGAGACCGGAGCCTGGCTTCCTCATTAGCAAAGGAGCTCATTTAGAACAAGGGCATGTATGAACTTACTGCTCAGATTAATAAATCATAGCTATCTAGGCTCCTTAGCCCCAATTATCACAGTATGCAAGACCAAGGTTACTCCCATGCTCTTATATGGTGCCGAAGTTTGGAGCTTAAAACACATATCAGTATCAGAACAAATGCAATCAGAGCATCTGAGAAGTATCCTGGGTGTGGATAAAAGAACTTCACCTGCTGGAGTTAGAGCCGAATTGGGAATCCATACAATTTGTTCTTTGTCTAAAACAAGGGCTTATAATTATTGGTGCAAAATCAATGCTATGGAAACAG